TGTAAAAGAAGAAAAGTTCTGAAAATTGTCCAAAAAAACCCACTGTTCCCTCTCTTATAATCCTGCCCATAATTTGGGGGCAAGTCAGTAACAGAGATACAAATGGTGTTTGGAGAGGTCTCTAGGTTCCAGGAATCACCTTGTCTTCCCCACAGACCCTGACTTAAAACAAAGGAAAGCAAGCAAGCAAAGCAACAAAACCAAACCTCCACACACCTCCCACTTGAAAATACTTGAAATGTTTCAAATTTCTGAAATAATGAAATTATCACTTTTTTTTTCTGGTTGAAATGTAAAAGGCATCTAACAAGCACCTGCAACTTGGATTTAGTCAATAGGCAGTCACTGTTTAGAAGGACAGCATTTAGCTTCACGATAATTAGACAGAAAACTATACATAGATTAAAAATTCGAACTATACATAGATAAAAATTAGTTAGATATACATTGAAGAAAATACCCTCCTTTCTTAATCTAATAGAATGAAAACTACAGAACAAGATAATTCAGACTATTACTTATCAATACAGAAGGCGTGCAAATATCTTCTGAAGTTTTTCCTCTTTTTTTTGTGAGAGCAAGCCTAAGGACGACAACTGAAACGCAGATGAGTAGTTTTGTACAAGAGTACAAGTTCTAAATGAGACCCTACTCTTGTACATACCATTTAATACAAGTCTGCAATAAGAGACTGCTATTCCAAGTATTTCTGACATGTTACTGTGAATATAGAAAGTTTTCTTTCTGCTCTTCTCATTCCTTCAAGTAAACATATATTCTGGTACAAAGAACTGAGAAGTCAGAGTAGTCATACTCACTCCTCTAACCTCAATTCAAGTATGAGAACAAGAAGTCGCAGGCCTAAACAGGGTCCCACAGTTCATGACACAACACACTTAAGATCTTGTAGCAAGTTATGAAGTTTTTGAGAAATAATCTCTCCACTATGGAAGTTGTGGGGAAAAAAAGCAAAGTACACTGCACAGGAAAAACATAGTCAGTAAGATAGCTAAATAACAGAAAGTATAGCCCCAGACTTTTCACATGCAGCAGATATTGCAAAGTCTACATCATTTAAGTTGGTTTTCAATACTTAAGGTGGAGTGCTTGCACAATAATTCTTGTTATTGACAAGGTAGTTCTAGAACTTCCTAAAAACTAAGTTTTTACAAGGGGGTTTGCGTGTTACTAAACTAACAGCACCAGAGTCAATTTGTACAAGTTCTCTGTGGTTCTGTAACAGTAGGTCCAATACTCACAAAAATTTATTTCACAGTAGAACATTTCAGAATCATCTTAGCCAAATGACCAGTATCTTGAGTCAGTTTGTTTTGCTCTGTTGAGTCAGTGAAAAGGACACAGAAACACTTCTGGTCACAACAATTAGAAATACACTGAAAGTGAAGATGGTGTTCAGAGCTGCATCAAAATTTTGTTGGATGATATTTACAGAAGAAATGCTTTAACACGGGTATATCCTATTGTGAAATAATGTTCTTTCAGAAGCCTCTTGAAAGAATGAGAGGTGATTTTTGCTTATTGCAATCCCTAGAATGCTGCTTAAGCTAGGAAATCAAACATCCTCAGCAAGATCATCTAGGAAGGCTGCAGAATCTCTAATACTGGAGGTTTTTAAGTATGAATCATTGTGAGGGATGATGGAGGTCTAACTGACTGTGTCTTTGGCCAAGCATCTATCTCGACTTCTGTAAGGTCTTTGACATGGTCCCCCACAACATCATTCTCTCTAAATTGGAGAGATAACGGATTTGATGGGTGGACTGTTTGGCAGATGAGGAATTGGCTGGATGGTCACATCCAGAGGGCGGTGGTCAATGGCTCAATGTCCAGATGGAGATCGGTGACAAGTGGTGTCCCTCAGGGGTTCATACTGGGACCAGTGCTGTTTAGTATCTTCATCAATGACAGACAGCGGGATCAAGTGCACTCTCAGCAAGTCTGCAGCTGATATCAAGCTGAGTGGTGCAGCTCACACCCTTGAGGGCCAGGATGGCATCCAGCGGGACCTGGACAAGCTCGAGAAGTGGGCCTGTGTGAACCTCATGAGCTTCAACAAGGTCGCATGCAAGGTCCTGCACATGGGTGAGGGCAATCCCAGGTATCAATACAGGCTGGGGGATGATGTGACTGAGAACAGCCCCATGGAGAAGGGCTTGGGGGTGCCTGTTGATGAAAAGCTGGACCTGAGCCGGCAATGTGCGATCGCAGCCCAGAAGGCCAACTGTATCCTGGGCTGCATCAAAAGCAGCGTGACCAGCAGGTCAAGGGAGGTGATTCTCTCCCTCTGCTCCACTCTGGTGAGACCCCACCTGCAGTACTGCCTTCAGCTCTGTGGCCCGCAGCACAAGAAAGACGTGGACCTGTTGGAGCAAGTCCAGAGGAGGGCCACAAAGATGATCCAAGGGCTGGAACACCTCTCCTATGAGGAAAGGCTGAGAGAGTTGGGGTTGTTCAGCCTGGAGAAGAGAAGGCTCTGGGAGACCTTATAGCAACCTTTCAGTACTTAAAAGGGGCCTATAAGAAAGATGAGGACAGCCTTTTTAGGAAGGTCTGTTGCAACAGGAGAAGGGGTAATGGCTTTAAACTAAAGGAAGGTAGATTCAGACTAGATATAAGAAAGAAATTCTTCATAATGAGGGTGGTGAAACACTGGAACAGGTTGCCCAGAGAGGTGGGAGATGCCCCATCCCTGGAAACATTCAAGGTCGGGCTGGACCGGGCTCTGAGCAACCTGATCTAGTGGGAGGCATCCCTGCTCATTACAGGGGGGTTGGACTAGATGACCCTTAAAGGTCCCTTCCAACCCAAACCATTCTATGATTCCACAATTCAATTAGAGGACCTCTTCAAGTCCATTCCAGTCCTGTTTTCAGCAATTCCGTGTTACCACAAACACTGACAACTCACAGATGATCACTTCCCCAAACCAAACAGAACTAGTGCCATTCTGATCAAGTCATTTGCATTTAATGCAGTCCAGTAATTGGCAAGCAACCATCTCTGGCACACCTACTGCACTAGTCTTAGCCGTGATATGCTTAACACTGAAAAAAGCTTCTTGACCACCCTGATGGTCTAGATTTCTGAAGGAAGAATCTCAGGCTATGATTCAAATCACGTATTAAAAAAGTACAACTAGCACTTCCTTGACAAAAAAAAAAAATACTACTCTTCCTACAAACACCATTCCAGGATACCCAAGGTGTCCTTGGATTCCTAAAGTTTGAAGGAATCTTTTAGTCAGTTCTTGAAATAGTCCGAAGCCTACTAAGACAGAAGATGTTTCTGGAGCAACATGCCTACTAGAAAAGGATGAAGACAGACAGGCATGCTTCCTCAGCTTTTTTTTCTTCACACATACTGTCAATCCCATTGTCAAATCATTGAAGTAGCCTTTTCTGAAAGGGGTCACTCATAAAAATTATCCTGTTAACCCTGAGTGAATAAGATAGCTTTGCACTATCAGCCTAAGGACTACCTGCTATGATTAAGAGTATCCCAGGCTAAGAGAAATTTGGCTAATCTCTTCACAAAGAGAGGGCATAGAAAGTAGCAATGAATGACAGACAATGGTTTAATAGCAGCAAAAGGGGTACTTCAGAGGTAATGCCTAAAGACAGTAGGTCAGGCTACTACTAGTCTGAACTTGAAGAGTGACACTTACAAAACCACCAAAACTTACTTTGTATTCCAAATGCAACAGCTGTAATATTAAGGTAATGTCAGATTAATGGCAGTGGTAAGGAAAAAGGAAAAAATTCAGGTATGGGATTGGTTTTCATATATACACAATTAAAAATCCAGCCAATGTTTCAATCAGCAGGTTTTTTTTTACATAAACACATAATTATAAGTAATTTAATTTTTGTCAACCCTACTCAGATCAATACTGACCACTTCAAAACAGCACAGCTGCTTCTATCTATGAATATGCAACACATCTACGAATATTAAAGCTTCCTTGCCTCTACCACTAACTGCTGAAATTTAGCAGCAAGGGTTGAATTGTCAAGGCTGCTCAATTCAAATTTAAAAAAATTACTTCAGAAACAGAAAAATAATACTCTCAGGTGATTTATGAAAGAAACTGTATGACAGCTAAATGTGAAAATCAAAACCCTTTGCTCTTTTCAATGATGTAGCAGCTTGTGCAATTATAGCATCACTGCTAGCCATTAATGACTCATAACACCCAAAATTTAATATCATAACTTATAATTTCTGACCTTGATGACAGTCCACCTTTGTGATTATCCCAGTCTACCCAACACTGCATCTGATGTTAATACCAACAATAAAAAAAAAAATATGTATAAACACACCAAGAAGAATAAAAGCCATTACTTTTGGCTTGTGTACAGGCCTGTGTATAGGTCTGTGTGTCCCTTTAAAAAAAAAAAAAAAAGAGAAACAAAGCTTTTTTGTTGGTTACAGTCAGCAATCCTATAACACCTTATAAATCTCCAACATTGTGCTGAAATCCACAATACAACAGTGAACATTTTCCATTTCAAAAATTACTGATATTTGAACAGGACAGAAAAAGTCTAGTAGAGCCAATGTCAACTTTAAACATACAGTTAAAGAGTGGAGCATCCTAGTCAATAACATACTAACATTATGGGTTTTTTCCAAAAATTCATCAAAACATAGTCTGGAAAATGTAATGAAATTATCAAGATCACGCCTTAACTTAGATCAGATTTTTCAAACTGTATTAATTTGTCACAAATCCCAAGCCATTTATTTTCCATTTTTTTTGAAAAAGGGCATCTTCAAAAGTGCTGTAAGCTAGAACATGTGACCTCCAATTTTGCACAATACCGGCGAGAAAAGAGTAAAGAGAATTATGCTATGCGATACAAAAGTGATATATCTTCCTAAAGAATGTTCCAATTACCAAAACCTCAGCCAGAAAACAAAACTATACTTAAGAGTAATGCTTATAACATTCAATGTAGAAAAACAGTGCATCTTACCCCCTGTTCCAAGAACTTTCAGGAGTTCGAAGTTTTCGATGCCAACTTTTTCTGCATGGCCTGTCAAATTAGCTGAAAGGAAAAAAAAAAATTCATGTCAGATAGGTAGCACACTGAAACATCATTCTGACATTATTGCTACAGCTTCAGTAAAACCAAATTAGCAGATGAACTAAATAAGCAGCACTAAAAAGACATTCCAGTTGCATACGGTATTCTTTTAACTTGAAAAGCAAGGGAGAGCAATTTGCTTGCTGCCATCAGTGTTCCTGGAGGTATATAATCACAGAGTAATAACTGAAGCCCATCTAGCTTGTATACAGCATCTTTCATCCTATGACTGGGCACCTCCGAAAAAAGTCTAGTTCCACCTCGTCTGTAATCTCTAATTGCATAGTTATAGACAGGTCATCCCTTAGCCCTAGCACCCTGAATACTCTCATGTTCTTGGATCATATGGTGCTTAGAATGACATAAGCAGAGCTCCAGTAACTATTCATGCATTTAACATAGGATCACTAAACCTATGAAGACTGTCCACTACTATTGACTAGGAAAGACCTTAAAACTACATAATGAACAAGTCTGGAAAAATCTAAGTTGTAACAAAGTTGTTTCATTTGTTGGGGAGTTTGGGAAGAGGATGTTCTACATTTATAAAAAACTATACTATTTTGAGTATTTTTTTTTTTGTTTAACAGACATTTTTCTAAGCAGGGCAGTAAAGAGCCCTATTTAAAAAAGGAATTATGGTGGGTTGGTTTGTTGCTGGTTTGATTGTTTGTGTGGTTTTTTTTCCTTTTATACACTGCTAAAATAAAGCCTTAAGCAGTTCCCATTTTTTCCATCTTTCATTCCTATCATAATATTATCCATCCATTTGCATCAATACATCTGCAGGCCATTCAGGAAAGCTGCTCATTGAAACAATCCAGGTTAAAAGCAAGAAGGCAAAAAAGTAACTAAGTTTGATTATTCTTAACCAAGTTCAGTTCCCTGATCTACTTCAATGAGCAGCTGCATAAGCAGTTTTACTAGCACAATTAAGGATGCAGCATCAAGCAGCAGAAGCTGCATAAACTGGTATGGCTGCTAAAGAATGCCTCTCAAAGAGCAACTTCAAGCCAAACTGTATGTCTAAAGGGTAGTTAAAAAAACAAAACAAAACAAACAAGAAAAAAACACACACCAAAGAGGCTTAGGAAAAATGTGCAAGAAGCTTTAAGAAGCAGCACCACAGACTTCAAGTACAAAGATCTCTTAATGAAAAGAGGAAAATTCTTCAGTAGGAGATGCCAAAGTTAACTTACTCTGTTCAACAGAAATTCTCATTTGGTTTGGTATTTCTAAGAAACTTTATCGAGACAGTGTGCTTTCTGAATTAATTATCAAAATGTGTAGTTACTGTCCATTCACAGAACTGCAGTAAGTGAACAACTCAAAACAAACAGAAAACATAAAGCTTCAGAAAAACATCTCTCTGCAAAGGAGAAACAAGTATAAAAAATCCAAACACTAAATGAAAAAGCAAATTTGTGGCTTATTCCAACAATCCTAGGAATTCATACACATACACAAAATTCATCTAGTTGGGACAGGGTAACATTACTGCTCTCACGCAAGGCACTGATGAAATCTCCTCTAAAATATTATTTTCAATTCTTATCATTCATCTTTACAAGGGATTAATCAAACTTGGAGTAAGAGCAGAGAGACCACTTGAAACTACTGGGAGATTAGGAAGCCTAAAAGAGCTTTCTGGATTTTTTTCTTGTACAAACAGAAGTACACATGACAATAATTTTTGCAAATCTGAGGGAATCTACAAGCTATCCCAACACTGCATGTGAAAAAAACCCACACTCAGTATAGTGAAATTATTAGCGAAATATTACTTTTGTGATCAGTTCCATTTTAATAACATGTACTAGGTAAGACAGAACAGAATAATTAACAAATCAATGAGGCGATATGCACCACATGAGTTGAACTGAAGCTTACTGTACTATTTTCACTGCAGATAAGACAAATACTGTTGCTAGTGCTACATCACAGTCATTGCTGAAGTCAGCAGTAAGGGAGAAGCACTCACATGCCAAGAAAGGAGTAACAGCAAATAGGTAAGGCAAATCTAGACTGAGTTGGTGTCTACATAATTAGAGTACGTCATATCACAGCCAGAAAGCAGTCTGCCTTGAAGTAACTTAATATTACATATTACTCTTCTTAACAAGCACCAATAATGGTACTCACTGTATACAGTTTCAAAACAGTGTCTTTCCTGCCAGGGACAGCAGGAGTCAGGGACTATCCTAAAGAATCCTAAAGAGATCACGGCTAGAGCGTCCACTGTTTTAATAAAGCAGTGGATGTCACTGAACAGATTGAGGACATAGCTAGTATCCAGAGAAGTTCTAAGTAAGAGCTGAACTTAGAGTGGGAGGAAATTTTTCACTGAGAAATCTACTGACTTGGATCTTCCATTATGGAGTACTCCAGAAAGTTTTTACCATCTCACTTCCTTTAAGACCTGTCAGCAGAAGGCTTTGCAATTAAACACCCTTCTAGAAAGCAAAACAGTCATTTAATCCTGCCATATTCTTGGAACTGAATAGGAAGACAGAGTAGAATAGAGAAACTGCATCTCCAGTAACATGCTGAAGATTTGTAGTGCTGGCTACACTTCTAAAAAGAGATCAAATCCTAAACTCAATACGTACCATAAACTCAATCTAACTTGTATTCCACATTCAATAACATTAGTAAAACTTTTCCCACTTTCATGAGGTTACACAGTAAAAAGCTGAGTGATACCTAGTTTGAATTATTATGTACTTGTTTCAATGAGAGCTGTAATTTTCCACTATCCACTTAATCCTATTTTTACTTCCATTTAGGATGTTTAATTGCCTTATCCTAAAAAAATAAATTACATATCTTGAAGGTCATTGTAATATTATTGTCATATTAAAAGGGGAAAACTACATCACAAAGCATATGATCACTATAAAATAAGTCCCACCTCATTCTTTTTGCATTGTACTGAGGAAAAAAAGCCATCCCACAAGATCAGATAGCTAAAAGATGCTGCGTAACACATAGAGGTATGACAGGACACCTGAGACATACAAACTGTCTCTTAGAATTACTCCCTATAAAGCAACAAGTAGAATTATCCTTAATAAAAAAATGAAAATAAAAAATAACAAATCTTCAAAGCTACAAGAAAAGATTAACAATTCCCAGAAAGTGCTTCTCCCAGTGTTACCATGGCTGGCAATGGCTTGCTACAACAGTCTCAGTTGCTGCACTGAGTCCATCTCTGAAGTCATATCCCAAGAAAAGCAAGCTCAACAACTTGTGTCTGTGCCACATTCTTTCCAATGACGCTGCTAGAGCAGTTCTTTGTCTTCATCTACTGAAACCAGGCGCAGCATTTTTTGACATTCTTTCTGAGATGAGGTGCAGTTTCTCCAGAACGAAAGTCATCAAATCGACTTTTCCTTCAGCTTTCCTTCAGGAGCATAAATCCCCAAGTATCAGTTACTCTATTCAGTCACTCCCAGTAACCCAAATAATCACTGTTGGAAGACCTTTCACAAGGAATGCTTTCCACAATTACAAGACAATTGTTTCAAGTTTGAGAGGTTTTAAAGGATTGCAACTAGAAGGCCACTACCACTACCACTGACAGAACCCATCCTCACCCGAACCCATCCCATAGACATCGCCATGCTAGGATCGGTGTCAGAATCTGACCCAAGAACTGTCTGTGTAACCTGCATGAAGAGAAAGTATCTGTCAAGAGTGCAACAGGATGTACACTCTAGCATCTAGCTAGCAGTATTTCTAGCAAATAGTACCATAACATTTCAGTGTATGCAAAGATGCCATTCAGAAACAGTGGCTTTGGGAAAGCTCTTAATTTAAGAATTGAGCACAACGAAAGCAGTTTTGGAAACAGAAAATTTACTTCTCCATGTCCTTTTTCTTCAAGTCTGTTGACACATCAACTGAAGAGTACCAAGGAAGGGCACTAAGATTAGACAGGAAGAAAGTACTGCACAGGTCAACAGGACAAGAGTTTCTCCACAAATGATTTGAAGCTACACATGACAGCAGTATAAACGATGGTGGTACATCATGAAAAAAAAAAGTAAGCTGACTGCACCTTCTAGGAGACAAGCTAATTGCATAGGTGCACAATTAAGAAAAGCTTCCATTTACTGATTTTCTAATGTAGTCTGCGGTAATCAGCATTAGGCCAACACAGTAAGGAAAGTATGCAGTTGAGGGCAACAGCAAGAGACAACAGATCAACCCAGAAACAAAGACTAAAGGGAAAGGCCAAGACACCATGGCATGCATAGAAACAAAAAGGAAATAGTGGTACTGCTTGCAATTATCACCTCTGAAGGCAAAAAGAAAGCAAGTATCTCAAAATATTGCCACTGCAAAGACAAACTTCCACATGCAGGGACACCAATGCATGGAGACCACTACTGTCATTCTCAGTCCCCTGGAAGTAGGACAGTATGTCTAACTCTTGGAACCAGAACAAAGTATTTCCCTTTGAGGATCTCCAGATGACATAAAAGACACGACTGTCACCTGCACTATACCTGAACTTTGGGACAGTCAACTGTGACCTAAGAACTGTGCGAGCTGGTACTGTGTAATGACTCTATTTGCCTTTAACTGTACTTTTATGATCTTAAGAAATAATTTTTCAGTAGTGGTTGTTTTGAAGTTAAAATGTGCTGTCTCCTCTGTTTCTGGACTCCGTTGCACACAGGTTTTGAAGCAGACAAACAAAACTAGAGCTTCCTCTACTAAACTGGATCAAGCAACCTTTAAAGACAAGCTCTGCCTGAAAGCTGTGACTTGTCTCTGCTATTCTCTGTAACGTGAGACCAGCTCTGCTGTCTTATTGGGCAGAACAATGAACCTCAGACAATTTAAAGCGGAATAGAGAAAGCAAGAAGGAAAACAGGACAGAAGGCATTGTGTAATATTTCAAACTATTAGGTGTCCAATGCCTGGTACCAAGAGCAACTTGATTCTAACCTGTTCCTTCACAGAATGGCCCATGTCCACTCACCCATCAAATCAACTTTTTAAGTCACAGCCACAAAGAACAGATGCTGTTTTCAAAGTTACGTGAACACAAACTTGAGATTATCCCTTACTCAGAGTGAAGAGTGGGTGTTTTCCCTTGAAGTTAAACAAAACTAGCACATGCCTCTC